CCCCCCCCGCTTTGCTTAACCCCGGCCTTTGGGAGCAAAGAGGGGTTTGGGGGGGGGGGGAAGGCAGCACCCTGCTTTTTCCTCGGCCCTGGGTGCTGCAGGTGAGGCACCCACGGGGTTGCACGGCCCCGCGTGTGCAGCACCCACGCGTGTGCCCCGCTCCCGGGCCGCTCGGCCCTCGCTTTCAGCGTTCACCTCCCCACAGCCGAGCCCTGGCGTGCGGATACCGGGATACGGAGAGAATTTGGGGGGCAAAGCTGGAGGGATGCGTTAAAAATGGCTCCCACCTCCCCGGCGCAGGTCGGGGAGCTGCGAATGGAGGTCAGCGTTTTGGGAGGGTTTGAGCTCCCTCAATTAAAGCTTTTTTTTATTTATTTTTAATCTCCATCTCGCCCTAAAGAGAGGGGCAGAGGAGGGAGGTGGGGTATTCCCTCCTTGTGCTTGATAACAATTATAGTTGAAAATCATAGCTTGCAGGGCATTGCCATATTTTACTTGATAACAATAAAAGTGACACATAAAGTTAACTGTTTATGTTTTATTTATTAGACTAAATGTGCCAGCGGTGTCGAAGGCTTTTGGCTGGTTGTTACAGCTTTTTATGGGGTTGTAAAACGCCATAAATCAGTCACTGCGAAATGGTCGGGGCTCTTTGTGCTCTTGGCTGAGAGTTGTGTTTGCGGTGGCTGCTGTTTCTTCTGGAGATGAAAAGTAATAACGGGATTTTATTTTGATTATTATCACCCCCACACACACACCCCAATCATCGCCGTGATTTTGCTTTTTACCTTTTTTTTTTTTTTAATGATTATTATTTATTCCGTATTAACAAGCCCTGGCAAAGAGCAAAGGCTGCTTTCGCGCTTTGAACAAACTACCTCTGGAGAATGACATCAGCAGGGCTTGAGGATTTAATTAGCAGCGCTGCAATTAAAGGAAAGCAGAACTTTCCAAGGCTCTGGCATCGCCCATATATTCCCCTAGAGACGAATTTGTGACTGGGAGACGCTCACACAAATTCGAGTCTACAGGGTACATATA